AGAAATTCCTCCTGATGTCCCACCTGAACCTCCCCTGGCACAGCTTGAGGCTGTTCCCTCTTGTTCCCTGGGAGCAGAGCCTGACCCCACCTGCTTGACCTCCTGGCAGGAGTTGGAGAGAGCAGAAGCTTCTCCTGAACCTCCTTTTTCTCCAGACTGAGCCCCCTCAGCTCTCTCTGGAGTTCTCCAGTCCTTTCCCCAGCTCCATTCCCTTCTCTGGACACCCCTCAGTGTCTCTCCTGCAGTGATAGCCCAGAACTGGACACAGCACTCCAGGTGCCTCCCCAGTGCTGTTGGTAGCCAAACCAGCCCACCCACAGAGCACTGTGATCCCACGGATTCCCCTCATTTCCTGATGCCTTTTTCCCAGCTGAGAGAGTGATCCGTGGCTGGCAGAGGCACTGAGCTGTCAGCCCTGGAGACTGTGAGCTTGGCAGCTCAGCTGCTGTGTCTGAGCACAGAGTCTGGAGCACAGCCCTGAGCAATGAAAGCTTTCTCTCCAGTTCCCCATTTCCTTGCACTTTCCATGCAGAGGCAATTTCGACAGCAAACACAAACACTTTTGCAGCACAAGTTCCTTAAGGAGAGGAAAAACCCCAAACCAGAACGAAGCTATTTGCAAACCAAGTGACACTGTGTGCAGGAGCAGAGCTGTGCCCCAGCTCGGCCCACACTGGGCTCTGCCAGCAGCCAGGGCTGGCACAGGTCGTGGCAGGGTGGAAGGGGCAGCACCTACCTTAAATTTGGTGGGATGGTTGTCTGGGATGCTGTCTGAGCACAGACAACTGCAGCAGCTCCCCATGACGCCAGCGAGAGAGGCAATCCCTGGGGAGAGGACACACACCAGAGGACAATCTCATTTTCAATCCAACTCCTCCCACCCTCTCCACACACACAGCACTTACAGCTGTGTCCTCCTCCACCCCGGTGGGATTGGAGCTCACTCACATCTTCAATCTGTTCCTTGATTAACCAGCACTGTAAATATAGCACTAATTAGAGCCAACAGCTTTCTTACCATTAGGCAACTGTTGGATTTTTTGGGGGAGGAGTGAGGAGAAATTCCCACTGTTGTCCTTCTATCTCCCTTGAGGCTTCATGGTCACCAGGTTTCACCTCAAACACGAGGGAAATGGTCCCATCTTCCACCTGGCAAGGAGAACACAGTTCAGTGAGAGCTAAAATAGAGAAGAGTACAAAGCAGGGGATGGGGATGGGACTGAACTGCCCTCAGGTATCACAAGGCAGGTGCTTTTCTTTGATTAACTACCTCCATTTAGATCAACACAGAAAATTCTGCACAAAAGCACATCATCTACAGCTCAAAAATGAGATTAGGGGTATTTTACTGCTTGGCTCTGGGATCCTACAGGGGAGTGAGGTTCACCAGAGCAAACTAAACAGAGCAGAGATGCTGTGGCCGAGGGTGGGGAGGACACAGGGATCACACGTGGCTGCTGCTGAGGAATGTGAAGGTGCCTTCACCCCAGGGAAGGTCCTTCAGGGTCAGAGAACCAGCAGCTGCCCTAGTTTGGAGTGTGAAAAGTCACAAATGCCAGAAAACACCAAAACTCAGATATCTGACACAGTGTCGAGCAGGCAGGAGCTACACACAGTATAGTGAGAGATACTCCTGGTTTACTCACTGGTAGTGAGTAATACAAAATGCTGCTGGCTCTGATGGAAACTTAGAGCACTGCAGACCCAGCCCAGGGCAGGGACCTGGAAACTGAAAGGGGCAGACCCAGCCCAGGGCAGGTGACACAGGACAATGCCACGAGTGCCCTGGGAAGAGAAGCTCCTGCTCTCTCCACGAGGCAGGAGGGAATGAAGCTGTCAGGGTCAGGCCTGGCACCAGGGCACCAGTGACATGCAGAGGCTGTTGGGAACCTCTCCCTCTGCCACAGCAGAACCTGCCTCACCCTTCACTCCCAGCTAAGCCAGGAGTCACAGAGTGGCACCTCTGTGCTGCAGAGCTCCCTTGGGCTCCCTTGTCACGTGGAGGGAAGGGAAGAGCCAAACTCGAGCTGGCCAAGGGGTCCCATTCCAATTTCTACACCAAACCAGCACCTAAATCCCCTCCCACTTCCCCCCATGCCTTAGCTTTAGCCCCCGAAGAACTCCCTACCATGTCCTAATCCTGCCAAGTCCCCCAAAGGGGAATTCTTCCTTCTGAGCACACTGAGGAGCTCAGGCACAAATCCAACCAGTGCCACCTGCCCTTCTGCACACTGCTGTCAGCCCTACAGCACCAGCACAGTCCCATCCAGCAGCACAGCCTGCTCCAGCCTGGTTGTTTTCCTAGGCTCAGTATGGATTTACTCCCCGCTGGCCTCACTGGCTTTGATCAATAACTTAGCAACAGATCCCTCTGTGCTTCGTCTGACCTGGTCACTGGGGGCTGTGTCCTCTCTGGCTCTGCCCTCCCACTCCCACCTCAGCAACAAAAAACACCTGGTAGAAGACATGCTACCTTTGCCCCCTGTTTCTTCTTTATTCCCCTCTCCCTCAGGTGCTTCCTGCACCCTCATCTGTGAGGGATCAGGCTGAGGTGCTGTGGCTTGTCCTGAACAGCCTCTATGAACAGATGAGGAAAAAACCCATTGTGAGCTCCCTGAACTCTCCCTCAGCACTTCCCACCACTCCTCACTGCTGAATATTTCAGTAGCATCCTTTTTACACGTGGAGACTCCTAAGTCTCCAGGCTCTTGCTCAGTACTTCCAACACACCTTTCCAACACCTGTTTGCCAGTCCAGAGCCTCAGCCAGCCCAGCCAAACACTCCAGCAGTGACCACACTTCTCTGCAGCAGGAAGGTGTCCCCCTAAGACCACCAGCCCCATCCAACCCTCCAGGATCCAAACCTAAATCCCCCTTGGACCTCCACAGCCTCATCTCCAGAGCACAGCTCACCTGTCCTGAACTCACAGCCAGATTGTTCCTCTCCTCCCAACCTCCTGCCCCCACAGAGGGTCTGTCTGTACCCCCAACCTGCAGAATCCTTCACTCTCCTCCTGACCCCAGGACTGGAGAGGACAGTTCCCCTAATCCCAAAGGATCAGGGCACCCTGACACCCCTGCACAGGGACACGTGGATACCTCGTGTGGAAATGCACCTGGTCCCACCCCAACCCCCTGTGACACGCAGGGACAGACCCACTGCCCCCACCAGCACGGGAGGGAGCAGCAGGGATGCTCCAGGGGCAGGAGGAAGCTGGAGGGAGGAGGAAGGGGCAGGAAAGAGGTGGAAAAGGATGTAGGGACGAGACAGAGGATGGAGGGACCAGGAAGGGGCTGCAGGGAGGAGGAAGGTGGTGGAGGTATAAGGAAAGGGATGAAGGGAGAAGGAAGGGATGGAGGGACCAGGAAGGGGATGGAGGGATGAAGGAAAAGGATGGAGGGAAAAGGAAGGGATGAAGGGACAAGGAAGGGGATGGAGGGAGGAGGACAGGGATAGAGGGACCAGGAAGGGGATGGAAGGAGAAGGACAGGGATGGAGGGACCAGGAAGAGGATGGAAGGAGAAGGACAGGGATGGAGGGACCAGGAAGAGGATGGAGAAGGACAGGGATGGAGGGACCAGGAAGAGGATGGAGGGAGGAGAACAGGGATGGAGGGAGGAGCACGGGGCCTGCAGAGCCCGTGGGAACAGGGATGCTGAGGAAGGGGTGAGCCCC